AGCGAAGCGCAACTGGGAGGAGCGGCAGCTGCAGACCACGCAACTCCCGCACACGCCGACGCGCTAGGAGGCCGCGTGCAGCAGCCTGCAGCCTCACCGTCGCCGACACGTGGCGGGTAGTGATCCAAGCTGGAAGCGGTGACGGCGACGGCGGAAGCTTGATCTGCTGGATGGGGACGCCCTGGGGAAGCGGTGATGGCGCCGGCGGGAACTTGATCTGGTGGATCGGGACTCCCGTCAGCGCGGTCGATGCGGGGCCGGAGCTGACCGGTGATGGCTGCTGCAGTTGCAGCGGCTGCTGCGGCGGAGCGCCGGGCGCGGCGGAGGTCGCCAGGAGCGGTGGCTGCCACTGCAGCCAGGGCGGGGCGATGGATGGTAGCTGCTGCAGCGGCCTGATGAGCGCGGCGGAGGCCACCTGGTGCGGCGGCTGCCACGGCAACCAGGACGGGGCGGTGGTGGCGGTGGATGGCAGTTGCAGCGGCTGCTGCAGCAGCCCGACGAGCGCGGCGAAGGCCGCCTGGTGCGGCGGCTGCCACGGCAACCAGGACGGGGCGATGGATGGCAGCTGCAGCGGCTGCTGCAGCAGCCCGGCGAGCGCGGCGGGGGCCGCTTGGTGCGGCGGCTACCACGGCGGCGCGGTGGCGGTGATGGGCGGCGCAGCCGGGTGCGATCCATAGGACCCGGCCAAGAACAGATGGATCTCCTGGACCGCCTGTGTTAGGTCCCGCAGCACCCCGGACACCTCCGGGGTGAGGACGACGAGGGCGGGCGCGACGGAAGATCCCGGCGCGGGCAGGAGCGGGGCGACGGTCGTGACCGGCAGCAGAAGAGACGGGTTGGGCGGTGGTGAAGACATGATCGAACCGAAGCTAGCTAATACCAAATTGTTATGGCACTGCTAGAAGGAGGGCGCGAGAGGGCCGGCCGGGGGCCTTTCTGCCCACGGCCGGGTAAGAGGGAAGGGATTTCCTTCTTAATTCTTGCTTGATTAGATTGATACATCTCCTCTCTTTATATAGAGAGGTTTACTTGACTCCCAAGCAAGGCTTACTTGACCCCTAAGCAAGCGACCCTTATCTCTAATTAACCCTAAGACTAATGGGCCCATTAGGCCCATTACGTACTCTAACAGGTCACCGCATTCATCTCCTGCCAGGCACGGCGCCGGTTGCAGTGCGCCCCTACCGCTATCCCCAGCTACAGAAGGACGAGCTGGAGCGGCAATGTGCGCTCATGCTCACCTTGGGCATCATCCGGATCTCCACGTCGCCATTTTCGACGACGGTCCTCCTCATCCGCAAGTCGGATGGCACGTGGCGCTTCTGCATCGACTACCGCGCCCTTAATGCCCTGATGCTCAAGGACAAGTTTCCTATCCCGATGGTCGACGAGCTCCTAGACGAGCTACATGGGGCACGTTTCTTCACCAAGATTGACCTCCGGTCGGGTTACCACAAGGTGCGGATTCACCCGGACGATGTCGCCAAGACGGCGTTTCGGACTCATCACGGCCACTTCGTGTTCTTGGTGATGCCTTTTGGCCTCTCCAACGCCCCAGCGACCTTCCAGGCTCTGATGAACGACGTCCTCCGCCCCTACTTGCGTCGGTTTGTGCTCGTTTTCTTTGATGACGTTCTTATCTACAGCGCCTCATGGGCGGAGCACCTTCAGCACGTCGCCATCGTCTTCAACGAGATTCGAGTGCACCATCTTCATCTTAAGCGCTCGAAGTGCTCGTTCGGGACGCCTTCAGTCGCCTACCTCGGCCACGTCATCTCGGCCAAGGGGGTTGCTATGGACGCTGACAAGGTGGCGGCCGTCGCGGCCTGGCCAACACCGCACTCACTGCGGGCTCTTCGCGGCTTCCTGGGCCTCGCGGGGTACTACCAGAAATTTATCCGGGAGTTCGGCCTCATCGCATCCCCGCTCACGCGCCTGCTGCGTCGCGAGGCCTTTGCTTGGGATGAAGAGGCGACAGCGGCGTTCGAGGCTCTCAAGGGGGCCCTCACAACAGGTCCCGTTCTTCAGATGCCTGACTTCGACCGCCCGTTCGTCGTGGACTGCGACGCCTCCGGTGTGGGGTTCGGCGCCGTCCTTCATCAGGGCGATGGACTCCTCGCGTTCTTCAGCAGGCCTTTTGCCGCGCGCCATCTTTAGCTCGCGGCTTATGAGCGGGAGCTCATTGGCTTGGTGCGGGCGGTGCGCCATTGGCGGCCCTATCTTTGGGGCCGGTCGTTCCGGATTCACACGGATCACTACAGCCTCAAGTTCTTATTGGACCAAAGGTTGTCTACCGTGGCACAGCACCAGTGGATCAGCAAGGTCTTTGGCTGCGACTTCAACATCGAGTATCGTCCGGGCCGCCTTAACACCGTGGCCGACGCCCTGTCCCACCGCGACGCCGACCACGACGCAGCCGTCGGCGACTCCGATGGGGCGGCACTCTGCATCCGTTCGGGGCCCTCTTTCACCCTCTTTGCCGACATCCGTCGGGCCACCGCGGACGCGTCGTCCGCTCAGCTCCTTCGGCAGCGACTTGCTGCTGGTGACCTGGAGGAGCCGTGGCGCCTAGCGGATGGATAGCTCCTGCATGGGTGCCGGCTCTTCGTGCCGGACCACGACGACCTCCGTCACCAGGTTCTGCTGCTGGCACACTCGGCCGGCCACGAGGGTGTGCAGAAGACCCTACACCGTCTCTGCGCCGACTTCTACATCCCGGTGATCGGGCCCTGGTCCGGGACTGGGTGCGGTCTTGTGTGACATGCCAGCGCAACAAGACGGAGACACTACGGCCGGCTGGTCTGCTATAGTCCTTGGAGGTGCCCTCTCAGGTCTGGACTGATATCTCCATGGACTTCATCGAGGGCCTTCCCAAGGTGGGGGGCAAGTCCGTCATCCTCACGGTGGTCGACCGCTTCTCCAAGTACGCTCACTTCATCGCGCTTGGCCATCCCTACACTGCCACGTCTGTGGCCCGTGCCTTCTTCGACAGCATCGTCCGCCTCCACGGGTTTCCCTCCTCGATCGTCAGCGACCAGGACCCGGTGTTCACGGGACATGTCTAGTGTGATCTCTTCCGGATGGCGGGCGTGAAGCTCCGCCTGAGCACGGCCTTCCATCCTCAGACGGACGGCCAATCCGAGGTGGTAAATAAGGTGATCGCCATGTATTTGTGTTGTGTCACAGGTGATCGTCCTCGCGCTTGGGTGGACTGGCTCGCATGGGCGGAGTACTGCTACAACACCTCTTATCACTCCGCCCTTCACGCCACGCCATTAAAGGTGGTCTACGGCCGCCCGCCCCTGCCCATCCTGCCGGTTGACCCGGCGACGGCTCGGACGGAGGCGGCGGGCGATCTTCTTCGCAGTCGCGACGAGATGCTTGCGGAGGTGCGGCAACGCCTCATTCAGGCCCAGCAGCTTGCTAAGCACTACTATGACGGCCACCATCGTGAGGCGGAGTTCGCGGTGGGTGACTGGGTGTGGTTGCGCCTTCTTCACCGCTCTACGCAGTTCCTGGACCCGCGCGCGAAGCGCAAGCTGGGCCCTCGCTACGCTGGGCCATTTTCCGTGTTGGAGCGCATTGGGAAGGTGGCCTACCGCCTTCAGCTTTCGGCCGGTGCTCGCATCCACGACGTCTTCCATGTGGGGCTGCTGAAGCCCTTCCGTGGGGAGCCACCGGCGGCCACACTCGTGCTTCCTCCGACCTCTGACGGGCGTCTCCTTCCCGGACCAGCGAAGGTGTTGCAGGCCCAGCTACGTCGCGGGGTGTGGTACTTGTTGTTCCAGTGGGATGGTGGAGATGTTCCCCGGTCGACGTGCACTTGGGAGCAGCGCGACGAGTTCTGCCAACACCCAGACTTCCAGCTCGAGGACGAGTTGTTTGTGCAGGCGAGGAGAGATGTTATGACCAGGGTAACTTATACCCGGAGGAGGCCCACTGGGCAGGTTTAGTTAGGGGCTTAGCCCAAAAGTTATCTTATTTTTATTAGCATCGTGGTTATATAAACAGTTGTAAGACTCTTTTAGAAATTAAGCAATAAGACTATTCCTATTGCCCGGCTCCCAGAGGTACCAGAACCCTAACCTAGCCGCCGCCTCCTGCATCGCCGCCGCCCCTCCCTCCGCGCGAGCCGCCCCTCCCTCCGCGCGAGACGGCGCCAGCACACCGGCCGCCGCGGTCCAAGCCTCGCCCCGCTCCCTCCTTCCCCTACAATCTTCGGCCTAGACCCAGTAGAGCCCTAGCTCCTACCACAGAGCCATGAGTTGGTCGCAAGATCTTATGGGTTTCACCTCTAGCCTACCCCAACTTGTTTGGGACTAAAGGCTTTGTTGTTGTTGTTGTTGTCGGAGGCTGGGATGAGATGGATTTCCTGATGCGGGATTGATGGTACAACGGCTGTGGATCTGGCGCTCTTTCCCAACTACATCAATGGGATGCGGCGGATTCGGGTCCAGGTTACCATGGGGATGTTCCCCGGTCGACGTGCCACAGCGACATGTGCCTTGCTGCTTGCAGCAGGCCTGTTCATCGACTCAGAAAGCCATTATGGCGATGGTGGAGATTGTGCTTCTTCTCCGGCGACCGCCTCCGCGGCGGTGGATATTGGCTGCAATTGTTAGCTTCGGTGTGTGCAGGGATCCTTATGGACCTTCTTGTATTTTTCCATGTCTCAGGATCCTCTCTGCATGGTTTTCAGGACGTCTGTCAACTCCTAGTTTCTATAGATGTTGTCGCGTGTGTTTGTACATGTATTCTGATTGTTGATTAATGATATGCGCGGTTTAATGAAAAAAAGTCAATGAAGAAAGGTGAGCAAAACACTGAAATCCTCTCTTTGTTCCTCCTATATTTCTCAAATTCGCAATGCTTCGTCTATCCCAGCCCAATTGGACTGTGGCGCGCTAACGAGCAATAATGCTGTAAGATGGTCCTTAATTGCTAGTACTATTGACGATGAATATGGATGCACAGAGCCGGGGAAGGAGCAGTAAACTCACCTTGTCGGAATGGTCGGAGGCGAGGAAGGTGGAAAAGGTGAGGCGCTCGACCTCGGGCTCCGGAGCCCACCACGCACGGAACTCCGGGAGCGTGCGGGCGAGCTCGGACTCCGGCACGCTGTACCCGCGGTCCCGCAGCATCTCGAGCGCCGTGCGCCGCGCCAGGAACAGCCGGTGGCTCTCCTGGCTCGCGCGGCCGCCGCGGTCGACCATCGACGACATCCAGCCGACGACCTCGGGGACGTCATCGAACGAGGGTTCCATCACGAGGGCGGGGGCTTCGAAGGCGGCGGCGGCGGCGGCACCGTTGGGCGTGCTGTTCGCCGCGTTCAGCTAGGATGGCAACCGCGGGGAGCGCATCAACCATTCCACCTACTCCCTCGGGTCCGGGTTTAGTAGACCCTTTAATTTGACCTGTAAATTTAGCTAATACTCCCTCCTTTCCTAATATAAGACGATTTTAAAATATTAACTACATATATACTAAAATAAGTGAATACACATACCAAAATATGTCTAGATACATACAAATGAAGAAAAAAACTAAAAGGTTTTATATTAGGGAACGGACGGAGTAAAATGTAATACTCTCTCCGTCTGGAAATACTTGTCATCAAAATAAATAAAAGGGGATGTATCTATATGTATTTTAGTTCTAGATACATCCCTTTTATCCATTTTGATGACAAGTATTTTCGGACGGAGGGAGTAGTAATTTATACTGTATATCACAAAAAAAGACCGTAAAGATCTATTTTGAACTACAAATAAAATTATATACTTTTTTGGAATATACTTTATATTTTACTTGTAGTCATATAGATAGTCGAAGTCTAGCCCAAATATGAATGGGCCTAATAAATTTGGACGAGGAGAGTAACAGTGACATAAGGGTAAGACAAAAGGAAAAATATCAAAGTATATACAAAATAAAATTGGGTAAATAATCTAATTCTCTAGGGTTTTAGTGTTTTAAACTCGCTTGAACAAACATGAACTAGTTCATCAAACGACCTGCTTAAATCTCTAAACAAGATCTTTTTTGTAAGAAGAAAAATAAAATATTGACCCATATATCAATTGATGCACATAGTCTGGATAGCTTATAATACTTCTTTCCCAAACCATGCAAGAGAACTGCACGTTGTTAATAGATTTTTTTAGGCAAACACAAGCTTTATTAATTCTCAATGTGAATGTTTACAGGTACTATGACTTGATGATGTAGGCACAACCCTAATCGGTGAGATTTGTCCCGGTGTTCATGGACTGAAGGTGGATTCAAGTAGGAATACGAAAAACATGAGGGAAAAACATGGAGAAATCAAAGGGGGGAAACACTATTGCTGTGGTGGAGCTAGCGAGGGATAGTTGAGGGGACAAAGTGTGAAATATATTTTTCTGTATGGGCCAAACACTATATTTCTATCAATTTGTGACACCCAAAACAAAGTTTCTTCACAAAAGATCCATGGGTTGGGGGGTGACCCTTGTAGCAACACACATAGCTCAGCTAGTGCTTTATTGGACAAGATTCACACCAATTACTCATCAAATCACACGCAATACAAGGGATGCATTAAGATCCAAGATCAGCAAGGAAAATAAAGATACAAGGTAGTTCATCCAAATCTCTAGGAGAGATGAGTCTTTAATTCCATAGAGGAATCTTCCCCTAAGGGCCTTGGCAATCATAGATGGTCACTACTGAAATCAAGATCTTTGCCGTCAGCCAGCTATTTGCCATCAGCTACAGGAAAGCTGACAGCAAAGATAATGTTTGTCGTCAGCCAGCTCTTTGCCTTCAGCTAGCGGACGACATAGCAGCTTTGCCGTCCGCTAGCAGACAGCAAAGAGGGAGGGTGGTCCACTAGCGAGAACCACCTAATGGCCACTTTCTTTGTCGTCTGCTAGCTGACGGCAAAGAAAGTGGCCAACCTAACGTCCGTTAGCTAGGCTCTTTGCAGTCTGCTAGCAGACGGCTGTCGGTGTCAAAACCGGCCAATCTCGGGTAGGGGGTCCCGAACTATGCGTCTGAGGATCGAAGGTAACAGGAGACAAGGGGGACACGATGTTTACCCAGGTTCGGGCCCTCTTAATGGAGGTAAAACCCTACGTCCTGCTTGATTGTATTTGATGAGTATAGGGGTTACAAGAGTTGATCTACCTCGAAATCGTAATGGCTAAACCCTAGATGTCTAGCCTATATGAATTTTGATAGCCTCTATGGACTAACCCCTTCAGTTTATATAGATACCGGAGAGGCCTAGGATTGTACAGAGTCGGTTTACAGAGAAAGGAAACTATGCATCCGGACGCCAAACTTGCCATCCACAGAAAGGAGAGTCCCATCCGGGCACGGGGGAAGGCCTTCTACCTTGTATCTTCACGGCCCATCAGTCCGGCTCACAACACATGGCCGGACTCTCGAGGACCCCTTAGTCCAGGACTCCCTCAGTAGCCCCTAAACCAGTCTTCAATGGCGATGTGTTCGGCTCGCAGATTGTCTTCGGCATTGCAAGGCGGGTTCCTTCTCCGCATACTTCAAAGTAGTCTTCTGAGCAAGAGAACTATATCCGGCTCTGTATAATAGTTACAACCCTCAACCACAAGGGTACAATACTTAATCAAAATAAGGTATGTCTACTGACAGCTTTTCGGCTAAACGTTACGCCTGGCCTTTTTATTATTTTGAACTTTTTTTGGCCTCCCGTTTCGTGTTTTGAGGCACAGCCTCCATTGACACGTCTTGTCAAAACAGAGATCGTGTCCCCTTATTGTGGGATTTTCATCAATACGGGTTTGGGTAATTCAACCGTGCCATTCGCACGACCCCTTGGGAATAGGCAAGTTTTAAGGCTCGTGGGGGTGCTTGATATTCACTGCCTATATAAGCGGATAAAGATCCATCTTTTTACCACGCCTTCTTCCTTCCTCAGCCTTCCCATCCTCGAGCTCCAGCACCCAAGCTTCAATCTTTCCCACCGCCCAACCTCTCCAGCCATGTCCGGATCTGGCTCACAGGGCAAGTGGATGGCCTCCGCCGTCACGGAGAAGGACGTCAAGGAGCTCCGGGAGGCGAGGTACTTGACCGCGGAAATCGCACATAGACTCCCCGCCAAAGAGCAGGTCATCCCCACTCTAGAACCCGATGAGAGGGTTGTGTTCATCCCTCACTTTCTCCGTGGGTTAGGGTTTCCCCTCCACCCCTTTGTCCGTGGCTTGATGTTCTACTATGGGCTAGATTTCCAGGATCTAGCCCCGAATTCATTCCTCCACATCTCGGTGTTCATCGTCATATGCGAGGAGCTACTCCGCATCCCCCCACACTTCGGCCTCTGGCTAAAAGTCTTTAATGTGAAGCCAAAGGTGGTCGATGGGTAGCATGCGGACTGCAGCGGCGCCATGATGAGCAAACTCCCCAACACCACTTGGCCCAAAGGAGCCTTCGTGGAGACCGTGAAGGTTTGGCAACAGGAGTGGTTCTACATCACCGAATCCCGCGATACCAAATGGGCGGCCGCTCCTGAATTTAGATCTAGGCCCCCCATGCGGCTCGCGTCATGGAACAACAAGGGTCTGGACTGGGGGTCGACCGACGAAGTGATGATGCTACAAAAGCGCATCAAGAGTATGATAAACAGAACACCTGTCTCACCGACGTGATTCAGGTGATGCTCTTCCGCCAGATCCCCCATGCCAACGCCGGCCTCTCCGCATGTGGGAGTTCAACCCGGAGGCCCCCGGACCCTGCAACGCTTCTTCGGCACAACGCACGAAGAGATCTGGAAACTGCTTTTCAAGGCCCGGAAGACATGGCCGGAGAAGACCGAAGACATCGGTCTTGACAGCGCGAATCCGGCTACTGAGGTGAGCATTTTACTTCTGAACATAATTTCGGTCCATAAGTCAAAGGGTATACTGAGATGCCCCTTCCTCATTTAGGGCTGGACAGCGAAGGCGGAGCAGATCAGGTGTCCGGCGCCGCTACCCGAAAATCCAGCCACTCCTCTGTTAACGAGGATGCTGGTTCCGACGCCTTATCAGGCACCAAGAAGAAGACCAAGAAGAAGAGCAAGGAGGCCAGGGGTGGCCTCCGCCGTAAAGGCACTTCAGACACTATGTCCGGAGAAACCGAGGCTCCCTTCTCCCATGAGGGAGATGAAGACGAAGAGGAGGAGGAGGCCGAAAATGATTCTCCCCTTAAGGGGAGGAAGAAGAAAAGGTCGGCCTCCGTAGACCCAGAGGCGAAGGCGTCCAAGAGGGGGAAGATATCCCTCTCGGATGACTCAGATTCATATGCCGAAGCCATCCCTGAGTGGCGCCCCAGGTCGAAGCCCATGGCTGCATCATAAGTATCCAAGGATACTATACATATATCCGGCTTTTATGATTGTAGTTCTAACACATTGTATTGTGTGCTTCGGTCCGGCCCGCGATCTCCCCCAATTATCATCATCTTCTGGGAACTCGCTAGAGCCGGGGATGGTGGAGAGCGAGATGCCTCCGTGAGCCTCTCCGCCAACCGCTACGGATGACATCGAAGTGTTATCCCGAAGAGCCTCTCTGGGCCATGGAGAGGTGCGGGAGGCCGCCAAGACGGCACCAGAGGGTAACACCTCGGCTGCCGAGAACATGGGGGAACCAACCCCCATGGAGATTGATGGCGGGGGCCATGACCAATCTGGCCCTCAGCCGAACACCATTCCGGAGATCCACATGGCTTCGGAATCGAGCGAGCAACCCTCGTTGAAGGAGGGGGGAGCATCGACTCCACCGGCGACCTCCACTAATCCGGAGGCGCTGAATTCTCTGGTGGACGCACTACAACGTGCTTCCGTCGTGGAGGAGCATCGTACCCTTATGGGTATGGTGGTTGAGAAGGTTCAGTCCGCCAAAAGCGGGCTGAACGAAGCCTTCACCAGCCTATTAACAGGCTTTAAGGTATGCGATGTAATACTCTTAGCCGCTTTGCATATGCAAAAAATATGCCTGTGTATAGATAGTAGCCCCTAAGACTATGTTCGACTTTTGATAAAAAAAGGCCGAACAAGGGATCAAGTAATACTTGCAGGAGATAACATACTTGTCTATTTTGATAAACAGGCTTCACCGTTAGCGGCGACCGCCCAGGCCGCTGAAGTTTCTGAACTCAAGCGGAAGCTGAAGCTGGCCGATGATGACCTCGACCCCATTAACAAGTGGTTCAATGAGGCACAAGGTATGGTTTTTGAAAGGGTTGTTTATACGATTGAAATTATATG